CAAAAAGAGGAAATAGTTATCAAAAAATGTGAAAGACACCATTCAAGAAAGTTAAAAAATACACCTCATATCATTACCAGTTAGTATATTAAGATAATTAATTATGCCATTACTTCTTTGTAGGATGTGTGTTCCTGTTTGAAATTTTTTTATTAGAATGACCTGAAATATTGAATAGCTTAAACTCCGAGACAGACCTCAAAAGAAATGAGATTCTTTTTTTAACTTCTGAATACTGTAGCTGTTCCAATTTATTTATTGAACGTCAGAAATAATAATAATAATAAATAATAACAATAATAAAGACTTGTGCTTATAAAAGTTATATAATAATGTCGATTAATTTTGAGTATTGCAAGTTAAACTATTTACAGGACATGAAAGCGCCTGTAAATAATATTTCACTACTTGCGTATCAGTTTGGCTGAGAAGTTTCTTTAGAAGTAATATTTCGATTAATCTAACATGTTTTGTAGCATACTCTTCTTTACTGGCAAAATTATATCTTGCTTAATACATTATTTTTTGGTATTAACATGCTTGTTTTATCTGTTGATAACCACAGGATAATTTCAAAATCATTGTTCCGAGATAAATGCATTTAAAGAGAAGACTAAAAAGATTTTAAAGAAAATCGAGGAATTTTCATAACTTTCGTAATGTATTTTAAATTATATGTCTAATTTTTTGAAGAAAAATATAAAATGCAGGAGAAGAAATCTGGGAAAAGAATATGGGAAAGCACAATGAAAAATTTATTTTCATATTTTTCGGCATAATGTCAATAATATTACATTTTATATACCAAAAGTTAAATGCTATTTTTGAAAAAGCCCTTAAATTTAAATATGTGTCTCAATTTTGCTAGAATAATTTCTACGGATATTTTAGAATTTTCGTACTCCAGCCTCAAAATTTAATTTTGCTTTTGAAGGAAAATATATAATAACAAAATAATGTCTTCGAGTATTTCACGCGTCAAAGTAAATTGAGTCAAAATATGCCATATGTTTTCATCTGCGACATTTCTCAAATTTTGCAATAAAGGAACTAATCCGAAGATCGCTAAACAAAGTAATTTAAATAAATTTTTATTGTATTTGGAAATGTAATGGGAAAAATTTGGAAATAATTTTCAGAAAAATAAGGAATACTTTTAACTTCTCCCTAATAATGCATAGAAATTTGTGACATAAGTATATTTGTAAACAATATTCGAGTAATTTCAAGTTAAAAATAGTTAAAACTTTTCAAACATTGGAAAACAAGGTATTGTATATGACATTTCATTTATGTCAGAAATAAAGCTTTTTCAATATACATTTTTATCAGTCTGCAATGAAATTGTTGCAGTATCTGTTAAATAATGTAACACAAATGAAACAATCGAAAATTACGGCAAATTTGAAAGATTTTAACACTACGAAATCTAGCGTTTTTTTACAGAAAAAAACACAAAGAGAAAGTTTTAAGACTAACTTTAATAATTAATTGCTGGAAACCTGTCAAACGGTAATTGAAACCTTAAGTAATGTGACATCTCAACTTGCTTCTCCTAAAATACTGTTTGCTTGTGGATATAATTTTCTAAGCAGTTAATCATTTTTCTTGATTCAGTGAATACCCGATGTCGCGGATCTGAAAACTGAACAAAGAAGCAGGTTATGATTTGAAATAAATGACAGATCTTAAGCCTAATTTCTTTTTTCCACTAAATAGAGACAAATGAAACTCGGTACATTATTTGTGATCCTGAGACAAAATATCAGTTATCTGGTTGAATTGAAAAGGATTAATCATGGCCTTAGAAACTTTAATTTCAAAATCTAAGTAAAGAGCATGTTGATGACTTTATTTGAAAGGATAGGGATACTTTATAAGGAATTTTTCCTGTGATAAAAACGGCGAACTCCATATTTGATACAGACGTTATGAACAGATTTCAGAAGAGAATTAAACACGTTTTCCCTGGAAAAATCTCTATCGAATAGCTGGTTTTCGCTACCCGATAACGTGGCGTCACACAGCTCCAGTCGTTTCTAGCAAAGAAAATGGTAACAATTTTCATCTCCGTCTTCTTATTCATCAGATACAGCACTTACAAATTACTTTCATTTCCAAATAAAAGGAAATTTGTTCTCAAAAGTCATTATTTTAATCGCATTAAAGAGTTTCCGAAAAACGAAACTAAAGCCTTAAGCCTTAAACATATTCTAAGACACGAGTTCTACGAAATAATAAGCAGTTGCATGAATGTGCCAACCGTTATACAAATTTACGAACATTCCACGTTGAAAGCTAAGAAATAAGAAAATTGTTTTCTTCACCTTTCGATTTTGTACATTTTTACTTATTCCTAAAACTTTGCAGACGCATTATATATGCAAAATTTCAGCTGTGCTTAGCAAGATGAATAAAAGAAAATTCAATTCATTTTGGTAGGATAGGTACTGGTTTGTACATTATCTTTTCGATGTTAAATTTAATGGTATTTCACCCTCTTTCCTTCATTCTTACGTTTAATTACATTAAATTGTGCAATCAAATATCCGTTTAAAAATCCATCATTATTATATTAACATAAATACTTTTTAAAGTTCTGCCCTAAAAAAATTGTGTGTGTTTATAATTGGATATACATTGTAAACGATATGCACATAAATTTGTTGCACATAAATTTTCTTTAAAAAAATTGAGCGGCATTTCCAGTTTTTTTTCTTTTATTTTTACGCAAAGTTACATTGAATCTGCAATAAAATCATTAAAAAGAATATCATTATTATGTTAATACATTTTTTAAAGTCAAGCCTCAAAATGTTTTTATTAAAGTTGGACCCATATAGCTTTAAGAAAAGATCCCTTTTTTATCTTTTTATAATAACATACAATTCTTTATTTTTTATTATGAACTTATATATAAAGCATGTAAATAAATGGATACTTTTTTCAGAACTGTTGCATTGAGATAAGTTTAATGTACAACCGGGTTAAGCGTTCATAAATTAAAAAAAAAGGCAAATGAAATTGTCAAAAACATTCTTAATTAGACACTGCGCAATGAAAGCAGAAAATAAAGAATTCAGTATACTTTTGTGTCCTTGAGGGATAAAAAGTTTCTATTTTTTAGTATAAAATAAATTTCAAGATAATGAATTTAATACTGCTTCATTTATTTGATCATGAAGATAAATTTAGTTATTTAATTTTTCTATTATCTTTTTTTCATATATTTTATTGTTAAATTTTTGAGAAATTTCAAAAATAAAGAAAATTACTTTATCATTTCTAGTAAGTAAAAAGACAAAAATAAACGTTAAAAAAATGCTTTTTGTTTATTTTTTAAACTTTATAGAGTTTAATTGCAGAAATTGTAAAAAAAAATATATTCAAGGTTTTTTTAATGAGAATAATTATTAATCAACAGTACAGTCAAAATTTTCGCAAATATTTTTATGTATTCAAATTTTAACTTGTTTTACCTTTGTTTGTTAAGTTATTTCCCTTGCGCTCCTTTATTCAATATTCCGTCATAATTTTGTGTATTATTTAGAAAATAAACCAACTGCATTATATTTTAATTAATATTAAGAGCTGATTAAGCATTGATTATTATGAAGCATTGATTAAGTATTTACAAGTAGTTAAAACTAAGCAATTACCTAAGAATATTCACCAAGTTTCCTTTCTAGAAATTCTTCACAAATTAAATATGCAGCATGAACGCATAACACCAGCAGTTTTATTGATGAAATGAATAGTTTTATTGCAAAAATAAGTCGTTATATCTAGATGATTAAATTATGTCATGTATTTGCAGCATAAATGTATTCCACACATACTGTTAATAATATATAACGGAGGTATAATATAATATTGCAAAGTTCTGCAGTTTAAATGAATTATTTCCTTTTTTTAATTACTTTATTAATACTAATTTAATTTACCCATGAAAAAAAATATTTTGAAACGCATTTTTTTAAGGAATGAATAATAAAGCAATGCTGGGAAATATTTTATATATATATATATAATAATTTAATAAATTATAGAAATATAGAGGAAATTACCTCTTGAAATTCGAATTGAAATTTAGAAAGCAAGTGTGCACTTCTGTGGTAAAAAACTACTAAAAATATATAAAATAATTAAAATATTTTTTAATTATGAAATGATAAAAATACCTTATTAAAAAATAAAATATCAATAAAATAATAAAAATAGTTCTAATAAATTGTGGTAGTAAAAATGGTAATAATAAACAGTGCACACAAATTTGCACTATTGTGGTAATAAAAAGTTTCAGTTGCCAATTTTTTTACCACAGTAGTGCACATTTGTTTTCTAAATTTCAATTCGAATTTTCTAGGAGGTAATTTTCTTTATATTCTTTATTATTCTGTTCAATTAAATATTATCTTTGCAGCAAAAGCACAGGATTTTACTTTTTATTCTAATCAAATAAATTTCTAAAATTCCCTAATTTTAAAGTTTTTCTTTACATTCATACATTAATATATATGTATAAATCTATTTCTCTCACTCTCTCTATATATACATTTGCTCGGAAATTTATAATACTATACACATACACACACACACACACATATATAATAAAATTAAAAGGACAGGTATCAAAGCTAAATTTTGACTACAAAGTAAAAGAAATTAATTAAGTACTTTAATAAAGAAAATAAAGAAGCTTTTTAAATATCTGAGAGATGTACAGTAATATACATAATATTTACCGCAAAACGCAAGTAAAAATATGCATCAAGAAAGCATTAAAATTATTATCTAGAAAAAGTATGCATCGCAAATCCTATTAGGTATAACTCTGGCCGAAAGGAGCAGGTACCCAACTTCTTATAAAAAACAAAGTTATGTAACACGAATACTTTCCAGTTTCATTAAAAAATTTAACTAAAGTAGAACTTAGACAGTTTAGTAACTTCAATAACACAGAACTAAATTAAATGATAAAAATGCAAATAATACTTTACCATGCTGCTGATTCTACTAATACTTCCACCGTGACCACCAATATTATAATATTTTCTGTCTTCATCATTGATGTATGTGCGAATCCTTCTTTGAAATACGAAACTTGTTTTTACCTATTCAATTTGAATCACCTATTCAGATTTGAGTAAGTCCTGAAAATTGTCTTCATTTCTCTGGTTTCAGCTGGTTTTTTATATAGTAGTCAAATCGTCTTTCTTTGTAGGAAACGTGTAGTTTTATACACAAAGTGCTAAACTTCCAAGTTTTACTCAAGTCACAAACGTTAACTTTTACAGTTCTGTCAGTTTCCAATCCAGTGACCTACTTCCTTAAAAACTTTTAATATAAGATAATTTTCATTTATTGAAAATTAGCTCTTTCATTTCAGAGATAGTAGAACCTAACTTTAAAATAATATATATATATATATTATATGTGTGAGTTTTATTCTTTAAAAACTAAAATTTTATTAATACTGATAAAAATTTATTTTAGTTTCATTAATTATATATATCGGAAGATATTTCGTTAGGAGTCAAATAAAATTCAAGTGCCTTTTCTGAAATTTCACAATTTAAATTTATGAATACGCTTTATTGCACTCCGGTTGAAGCAGGACAAGAAACAAAACTCAAAACTGACCACCACAAATACATTCCACATTATGGTCCAGAGTACTGTTATATGGCTAGCGGCGTGCCAGCACCGCATGAGCTTTTCACACTATTTTAGCAAGAGTTTTCTTGCCTTTTTCCTTTCTTTGCACACTTTTCATTCTTTATCGGCTTTTCGCCGCTATGTTTCGGTATTTGATCCCTCCCACCAGGACTACGTCACAAAGCTCTCAGACCTCCCAATTCGCAAGCATCCTCAGAGCACTGCACGCGAGTGGTAGGCTGGAACCACGCCTCCATTAGGCCTCAGGCTATTGTCGGACCCCTCAAACAGGGCGTGTGAAACTTGGCAAGAATGCCGACGGTTTTCTCTCATTCTGCTTCGGTTTTTGCGGATGGTATTCGAGGCGATCGCGCTAGCTCTATTAAGAGGGGTTGCTTAACAGATGAGCACTTTTTTAACACACGAGTTTGAAATGTAGGTAATTTATTTGTAGGTCGGATTCTAATGCTTATGTCTGCATTTGCTGCAGCTGTCCAAAGTTAGTACAATTCTGTTCAAATAAAATGCTCTCAGCTGCTGCGGGAAAATGTTAAATCGTAAACAGTGTTTTTTTTAAACCTAATAATAATAAATAAATTAATTAAGAAAATTCGAAAGATTACAGATTTCAACGATAGCCGAAAACAATACATTAAGGCTTTTTTATGTTCTCGGTGAGCTCACAGTCTACTAGCCTGCTGTTGCACTAACGCTTTCTAATACATTTCTTTTAGCTCCAGTATTAAGCATCACACTTCAAGTTCAACAGCAAAATTACAAACATTTTAAAGCAGCATGTGTTTAGGCTATTCCAATGCAGTGTTAAGTGTTGGTACAATTTTTGTACTTTTTTTTTTCAATATTTTCTCAGTTCATCATATCAATGTTCAGTTTTCTTAGTAACATGGCTTGTAAATGTCCTTTTTTTTTAGTCCAAAGGGATTTGAATCCCGAAGTACTATTAGTTTCGTTTTGGCATTTTGCGTCGGACTCATAAATGTCGGTTCACTTTTCAAACTGTTGCCACAAAATGTTAGAGTCCTGCATTATATTTGAAGAAATTAAATAATGAAAAATCTGCATAAATGTATGTATATTTCTCGTATTGTGATAAAACAACGGTACATAGAGTCATCGAATTTTGAATAACGTAATCCTCCAACGAATATGAGCATGTGGAAGACCAAATTTGAAATTTGAAATTTGTTTTATGATCGATTTCCTATTTTTTAAAACTTTGACGAATTTTTGATTAACAAACTCAAGGATTTCAAAGCGAGCAATGGCAACGTTGTGCAGAAAAAAACATTTTTATCTCCAGCGCGTGAGTCTCTGTATCGGAAATTCTAAAGATATGCTCGTTTTAAAACTATTTTGCGATATTGCTGTTGCACTGGATCTTATGGTTTAAGTGCGAGGAACATGATATTTAATAAAGAAAGGTAACACACAAAATGTTAAAAAACGCCCCTTTGGACGTAATTTAAAATCTGAAACATTTCAGATTTTTTTTTTTTTTTTTTTTTTCCCTGGATGAGGTGGTCTTTTTATTATTAACTTTCTGTGCGTTAACTTTATTTGGTCAATACCACGTTCATCGTATTTACGCCACATAAAATTGAATTCAGCAGCAAAACCACAAAATATTTAAAAAACAGCATATGTTTAGAATTTACGGTAGACAGTCTCGCACACTAGAGATAAAAATATTTTATTCCGCATAATGTTACCATTACTCACTTTCAAATCTTTGAGTTTGTGAATCAAAATATTTACTAAAGTTTGACAAAATATGAAAAGTAAAACTCTTAATTCAAAACTCTGGCTTCCAGGTGCACATGTCCGACGGGACGGCTACCTTATACAAAATTTAATGGCTCTAGGTACCGTCGTTTTTTCACAATGCAAAAACATACATACATTCATGAAGATTCTTCATTATTTAATTTTTTTTAATATAATACAGGACGATAATAGTTGATGGCAGAAATTTGAAAAGTGATTTAACTCTTTTAGTGATTCAACACAAAATACCGTTTTGAGATTAACAGCCTTTTTGGACTAAAGCCACTTTGGCTCAAAGACAGTTTTTATAGGTAACTAACTCAACGTAATCCGTCAGTATTTATAAATAGTGTCAGGATCAAAAGATCTTTTCCTACAAGTCAGAAAACGTAGTGTTAAAGAAAATATGCGTGAGGGAGTTCGTAATATAATATATTGATCGTATTGTACAATATATATATATATAAATGCTCTCTCTCCCTCTCTCTCTGTATGTTGCAATACTTATTTGGTTACATGCCAGTTATTTGTAGTTCTACTTCAGATAGAATGCATTTTGTTTTTGAAATTGTAGTGTAAGTTCTCGACCTTGAACGTTTCACATGATTGTTGTGTAATTCCTAGTAGGCGAATCATTCTCGAAATTTCCTGATTTAGTCCCACGAAGGCCTCCTAAATTTCACTCCTTTTTTTTTCTGCTGTTCAATTATTATCTGTTAATAATAAGAATGCCTTCTTGAGGATATTCCACCATAAAAGGTACAGGAGCCTTTACGAAGCTTGCTCAGCACCAAGACAGCAACTTCATAACAGTGCCCTGCTAAAGACCCCTCACCTTTTTAAAAATAAGACTGATATGAATGGAGCAACCTTCACAAAGGTGGCTGCAGATTTATGCTTGGTCATCATTATGCAAGTAGATTTTTAATCCCCTCCTCCTAATTTGTTTATTAAGCGAAGTATGAAATAATAAAATTATTATAAAATAATTTTATTATGAAATAATAAAATTATTTCATAATAAAATTATTTATTAAGCGAAGTATGAAAATTTTATTCAAAATTGCTTCACTTGTGTAATAGTGCAAAAACATTTATCCAGCTACTTTTGCCAATACCATTATGATAGTCACCATTGCGAGGATATTTGTCTTTGAAGAACACTAGTTAAATTTTGTGAAGATATCAGTATTATTATGCAGTAGTTTTATCAGACATCTTTAAAAATAAAATTATAGTTAGTTAATAAAAATTGATTCTAGTATCATATATTGAACATATTTCTGTTATAGACGTTGAATTATTTGAATAGTTATTTGAATATAGTTGAAATTAATAAAGGGTTACTTTCACCTTTCTTCTGTGCTGGTATTATTTCACGTCTATCCGAGAAGTCGCCAGGTTCATTAGTAGGATCTAGTTTAGTTTATGTCACCTAAGAGCGTTACATCCTATCACCTCATGAGGGTATACTAAGTATAAATTTCCGAATTCAGACGTAAGTAAGGAAATTATAAAAAATTGTCTTCGCTAAGTACAAAAAACGATCTTATTTTTTTTCTCTCCCGAAGGTTGAATAAATTAATGAACCCAATTATTCGAAGTGTTTGTTTGTAGTATTCGTATTCCAAAAGAACAGAAACTGTTGCGTTGTAATATTCATATTAGCATGAAGAAGTTATCATAAATGATTGCAACATAATTTTATGCTTCTTTTGACACTATTTCATCACTAATACAATAATGCAATTTGTATTAAGTGGTTCTTTATGTATCTATGATAAAAGATTTGTCTTCACAATGTAATTTTTTTCTGAGTAAGGAAGTATTCTTAATTTTGAAGCAAAGTACAGAGAGATTATTTTTTATTTTAAAAGTTGCCTGTGATTTTTTTCATTTTGATGAGAGTCATTTGAAGATAAATACAGAACTGGGGTTTAAATGATTTAAGCACTAAATAAACAGTGCAAAAGAAACGTGGAGTTTAAACATTTTAACACAAGAATAAATAATGTTGATCTTTAAAATAGTCAGTCACAGTTTATATACTGTTTGGAAAAATTAAAGAAATAGCCATGAAAATGCGCTTTATATTAATTCTATTAAGTGATATCCAATAAGAAGAGGTTGGTATCTCAATAGAAATTTGAGGTCATTTTTGCTTCTCAGAAATACAAATTTAAGCTGTGTACTTTTCAGCACGCATCAAAATGAGTGCAAAAGAGTGGCTTCAAATTCTAATTTCAAGAATTGTATGAGCAGTTAGGTAAAATTTTCGAGGTAAAAGGTGGAATATGTCACTGAGAAGGAATTTGATGGCTTGTGAGCAATAACGTGTGATTTGGAGAATGGGATCAAGACAGATACTAACACATGTTTATAAACATAATTAATAGCCAAAAGCATTATACCAAAAATTTAATAACAGTTTAAAGACAGTGGGGGTATGCAGGTAACAGGCCAAAGTCGAAAACGTGCTGGAAGAGACTCTCAAAACCGTTACCTGGCAAAAAGAATGCAAGAATGACCTAAAGCCCTACTACAAAGGAGCTGGCAGAAACTTCAGGAACTGGACTACGCATACATACCGCGAGAGACAGGCTGCCTAAAAGAGAGCTGAGGTTTCTTTGCATACACAAATCGGACACAAACCGTCGTTTATAGTGCCTCGCCCTTATGCAATGGTGCAAAGATCATCGTAATTAGTATACTACGCACTGAAGCAGAGGTTTAGTTATTGATGAGTCTTGTTTTTGTATAATGAGACTATTGAGAGGACTTTCGGCTCTTTGAGCGGTATTCTGAGCGCCTCATCCTTGCCGAACAGACACTCTATGCTTACCAGCATCTATACATTCTCTGGGATTCGAACACAGGGCCATCGGTACGACGGTCGTCGTCATTAACCATTCTCTAACAATGCGTGTTACATAATAGTACAATATATCTTAGTGATGCTGAACACTTGGGTACTTTTATAATACCCCTTCGACCATGAAGTTGTCGACAATGAATGCTATTTAGCACCAGTTGTAGACAAAAGGGATGTCACAAAAAACTCATAATGTCAGAACTTTTGTTTGATGTAACCTCGATAGATTCTCGACCCGCCTTTTTTTTTTTTTTTTTTTTAATGAGCAAGGGCATAAAGTAATTGTTATGGCTGGATTTCTCATTGCGTTTGAAAAAAAAAAGGGGGTGCTCGAGGACTATAAAATCATATTTGCGTCTGCACTCTGATTTATTTACAACTGGTCAAGAGAATTAATATCTGTGAAACTAGAAAAAAGAATAGCTGCATATGG